GGAGCAAATTCATTCAACTCTCATGGAGATTATGAACTTTTCACTTCTTGCACTTTTCTCGTCAGCAGAATCTCTATTTGTCATTCAAAAATGGGAACCCTTGTACCATTTGCTCAATGTTTCTTGTTTCCTTCTCTTCTTCAAAGCCAAATCCTACATATCAACGTCTTCTTCGCCAGTCTACTTGGTGGATTTTTCTTGTTTGAAGCCCCCAAATTTCCTCAGAGTGCCCTTTTCAACCTTCATTGAGCATGTAAAAATGCTGGATTTTTGGGACAGTGAAAGTGTAGATTTTATGGCTAAAATCTTAACTCATTCAGGACAGGGTGAACAAACTTATTTCCCACCAGCTTTACACTATATCCCACCAAAAGCAGGCCATCAAGAAGCTATTCAAGAAGTTCATATGGTACTTTTCCCAGTTCTTGAAGACCTGTTAATCAAAACAAGTATTTCTCCATCCGATATCGATATACTTATAGTAAACTGCAGTGGTTTTTGCCCAGCTCCTTCACTTTCTTCCATTATTATCAACAAATATTGTATGAGGGAAGATATAAAGAGTTACAACATTAGTGGAATGGGGTGCAGTGCAAGTGTACTAGCCATTGACATGGCTAAAAACATCCTTAAAACACACAAAAATTCCAATGCCGTCATTCTTAGCACAGAGATCTTATCTACCGGTTGGTATCCTGGAAAAGACAGGGCTAAGATAGTGCTCAACTGCATGTTTCGTACCGGAGCTGCAGCCATTCTAGTTACAAACAAAAAAGAAGCAAAAAGAACTGCAAAATATCAACTTCTTTGGAGTCTAAGAACCCTAAGGGCATTTGATGAAAAGGCATATTACTCCGCTTTTCGTGAAGAGGACTCCAATGGATTCACTGGCGTTACACTCAGAAGGGAGTTGCTGCAGGTTGCTGGTGAAACCCTAAGGTCCATTATTTCTCTTCTTGGATTAAAAGTATTGCCATTTACTGAGGTAATATGGTATGTCGTTTCCATAATTAAGAAGAAATTCATGAACAAGTCAACTGAAATTTATGTGCCGAATTTCAAGTCTGTGATACAACATTTTTGCTTGCCTTCTTCCGGGAAGCCAATTATAAGGGAAATTGGCAAAGGGTTGAAGCTTACTGAGAGAGATATGGAGCCTGCACTCATGACACTGCATAGATTTGGCAATCAATCTTCATCTTCAGTGTGGTATTTTCCATCTGCCTTGTCTAAAAGTTTAATGTGTGTAAGAGAATGCACGTATTCATTTATTTGAATTGAAGATTTTAACACATACGTCATTTTTTGGCTGGATTCAATTATTTTTTCTATTAAATGATTGGCATGTGGAATTTTTCATAATTTGGGTGACTGCGAGAAATGAATGCAAAACTTCAGTTCGCTCTTATGTCATGTAAATTAACAATCTAATTTCAAAAGCACACACCCCTTCACATGCATGTCAGAATCATTGTTTTTCATTAAATGCATGGCACTCGAATACGTTACTTAAACTAAGACATTGATTTACGTGCCTCCATACCATGTTTATCAATCACCTCATCTAAAGCTTTCATGCATTAGTAAAGCAACCTCTCCTTCCAATTTCGCTTCTTCAATCATGCCGCAAGCTGTCCTTTTATTTATTCAAATTCCGTCTTTAGATATGGACTACCTTACATGGAGGCTATACTTTATTATCGCTAAAATTTAAAATTTGTTTGGTTTCTAAATTCAAAACATTCTTTTACACACTAATTTATTCTTTTAAGAATGCTTAAATTTATATATTATTACAATTTGATTTGAAAATACAAAAAAAAAAAAA